GCATATGTATACGAAAGCTGCAAACATATTTGTAGATAGATCCGACCTCACATCGCAGTTGAATTGTTATAATGTGTCTTAGGTATTGCGTGAGCAGTATCCAGACTTACAAATACGCACAGAACTATAGAATGAGATATAATGTACACAGATTAATGAGATATAATGTGGACAGATTAATGAGATATAATGTACACATATTAATGAGATATAATGTACACAGATTAATGAGATATAATGTACACAGATTAATGAGATATAATGTACACAAATTAATGAGATATAATGTACACAGACTATCAGTAAAGTAAAGCGTATGACACAAACAGATACTATTCTTAGTAAACATACATATATAGATACTAAACATACATATATAAATACTATTCATAGTAGACATCCATATATAGATAATATTCTCAGGAGACATACATGTATAGATACTATTCTTAGTAGACATACACGTATAGATACTATTCTCAGTAGACATACATGTATAGATACTATTCTTAGTAGACATCCATATATAGATACTATATTTAGTAGACATCCATAGATAAATACTATTCTTAGTAGACATATATATATATAGATACTATTTTTTGTAGACATCAATATATAGATACTATTCTTAGTAGACATCCATATATAGATACTATTCTTAGTAGACATATATATATATATATACTATTCTTAGTCGACATCCATATATACATATTATTCTTAGTAGACATCCATATATAGATACTATTCTTAGTAGACATCCATATATAGAAACTATTCTTAGTAGATATATATATACATAGATACTATTCTTAGTAGACATCCATATATACATATTATTCTTAGTAGACATCCATATATAGAAACTATTCTTAGTAGATATATATACATATAGATACTATTCTTAGTAGACATCCATATATAGTTACTATTCTTAGTAGATATCCATATATAGATACTATTCTTACCACGCTGCAGAACGCAGTTCCAAGCGTCCTCGTAAATCTGTGGCATTATGTGAGTCTCCAGTTGCCGTTGCAGCACATCCGGTGCAGGGGGACTGAGTGTTCAATGGAAAGTGCGGGTTATAGGGTTTAGGATTGAAAGATTGTAGGGTTATAAAGTGTCCTCGGGTTGTGCTATAGGGTTGTAATGTTGTAGGGGTATAGGTGCAAAAACCTTAAGCAGAAAGATACGAAAAGTTCGGTACAAAGCATGGCCCATGCCACAGACAACCGTTCAGCTGTAAGACATGAACTATTGTGTGTTCATCTGTTACATATAATCAGTTGTGTATGTCTCAGCCCATGCAAACATGGACATTACATTCTATCTACAACAAACATCCCCATGTCTAATCATCGAAACCATAAAACCCTAATATCGATGGTATGTGGGCTATAGCGAAGCATCGGTAGTGTTATAGTATTCATGTGTCAACTTAGAATCAACTGAGCTGCTACCGTCCTGACAGACATTTGCATATGACTATATCATATAGCTATCATACTAAACATAGGTATGTAATATGTGCAACAGATGAGACATACTACACACACTTTAACAGATGAGACATATGAAACATACTACACACACTTTAACAGATGAGATATATGAGACATACTACACACACTTCAACGGGTGTGACATATGAGACATATTACACACACTATAACAGATGAGACATATGAGACATACTACACACACTTTAACAGATGAGACATATAAGGTATACTACACACTTTAATAGATGTGACATATGAGACATACAACACACACTTTAACAGATGTGACATATAAGGCATACTACACACACTTCAACAGATGTGACGTACGAGATACACTATATACACTTTAACAGATGAGACATATAAGGTATACTACACACTTCAATAGATGTGACATATGAGACATACTACACACACTTTAACAGATGTGACATATGAGATATGCTACCCACACTTTAACAGATGAGTCATATGAGACATACTACACACACTTCAACAGATGTGATGTATGAGATACACTACACACACTTTAACAGATGAGACATATAAGGTATACTACACACTTCAATAGATGTGACATATGAGACATACTACACACACTTTAACAGATGTGACATATAAGGCATACTACACACACTTTATCAGATGAGACATATGAGACATGCTACACACACTTTAACAGATGAGTCATATGAGAGATACTACACACACTTCAACAGATGTGACATATGAGACATACTACACACACTTCAACAGATGAGACATATGAGGTATACAACACACACTTTAACAGATGCGTCATATGAGACATACTACACACACTTTAACAGGTGAGTCATATGAGACATACTACACACATTTCAACAGATGAGTTATACGAGACATACTGCATTTGGTTGGCCATGCCTTCGTGGTAGATATGCTCAGCAACAGCCTCGAGAAACCCCACCAATGAAATGTTCTGTAGCGACGGCCCAAGTCCAGACGTCGTGGACATGAACTCAGGCGAGTCTGAAGGATTCCGTTACAAATGAAAGGGGGAACACCCAACAACGGGATGGATATGAGAACAATACACACAGACGTGGGATGGATACGAGAACAATACACACAGAAGTGGGATGGGTATGAGAACAATACACACAGAAATGGGATGGATATGAGAACAATACACACAGAAATGGGATGGACATAAATAAGCACAATACACACAGAAATGGGATGGATATGAGAACAATACACACATAAATGGGATGGATATGAGAACAACACACACAGAAATGGGATGGATATGAGAACAATACACACAGAAATGGGATGGATATGAGAACAATACACACAGAAATGGGATGGATATGAGAACAATACACACAGAAATGGGAAGGACATAAGCACAATACACACAGAAATGGGATGGATATGAGAAAATACACACAGAAATGGGATGGATATGAGAACAATACACACAGACGTGGGATGGATATGAGAACAATATACACAGAAGTGGGATGGGTATGAGAACAATACATACATAAATGGGATGGATATGAGAACAACACACACAGAAATGGGATGGATATGAGAACAATACACCCAGATATGGGATGGATA